CTCTCTCGCTCTCTCTCGCTTTTTTTTTCCCACCAGGTTGCCAGGCTGTCGTTTTCATCGTTTTCTTGTGCACATTCCTCTGCTTTATCTTCTAACCTTCCTATTTTGTTTTCATTCACTTAGTTTGTAAGAGTTGTTTTTAGGCTGGGCGTGGTGGCTCACATCTGTAATCTCAGCACTTTGGGAGGCTGAAGCGGGTGGATGGCTTGAGCCTAGGATTTTGAAACCAGCCTGGGTAACATGGCAAAAACCTGTCTCTACAAAAAACACAAAACTTAGCCAGGCAGAGTGGTGCGCCCCTAGTCCCAGCTACATGTGAGGCTAAGGTGGGAGGATCCATTGAGCCCTGGAGACTGAGGCTGTAGTGAGCCATGATCATGCCTCTCCACGCCAGCCTGGACAACAGAGTGAGACCCTTTCTAAATAAATAAGAAGAAGATTTAAAAAGAGCTGTTTTTATCCCGAGTGTTCCTTTTCCTGTCATTCATTCACGTTTCATGATGCAAAATTATCTTCTCTTATCCCTCAATGATACTCTGATTGTTCTTTTGAAGTTTTCTTCTGCCAACATAGTCTATCTTTTTTGTCCCTGTTTGTTTTGGTCCCTACTTTCCATTATAAAGGCAGTCCTCTGATGGTCTGGGGATCATTGGTCGTCTGCTCAGTGAGAGTGAAACGCTAAAAAGCTGGCGGGAGGCTCTGCGCACGTTGTTGGGACTCACAGACTTTGGGTGAATCCTTTGGGGGAGGGTCCCTTGATGTGATGAGTATCTTTAGGTTTTTCCTGAGCTGGTAGGATTTCCCGGAGATTTCCATTTGTCTGCACTGAGGGTAGAGGTTGCACTTATTATTTATTTGCACAAATTATTTATTTGTTTTTTCTACTTTTTGTTTTGAGACAGTCTCTCTCTGCCGCCCAGGCTGGAGCGCAGTGGCACGATCTCGGCTCACTGCAAGCTCCGCCTCCCGGGTTCACGCCATTCTCCTGCCTCAGCCTCCCAAGTAGTTGGGACTACAGGCGTGAGCCACTGCAGCTGGCCAAATGTTTAATAATAATTGTTTTTTAGAATATGTTTACTTAGAAAAGTTTTATCAAATCTTTTTGTTAATAAAAACTCCTAGAGTTTTGCTAAGCTAAATTAAATAATGGATATTCATTAGCTATCTAGATGATACCCAAATACGATATAATGCCAAGATATTAATGATTAAATGAGTTTAAGCTCCTATAATTTTGGCTTCCTATTTTAGAGAAATAAAACTTTAGATCTGTTAGTAAATATGTCCTGTTTCACACTGACATACTGTTTTGTTAGAAAGCCTATGTTTCTAAAAATAATAAAATGTGTATCATAAATTGTTAGTATGTGACTAACAGTTAAAATTGCTTACTTTCTAGGTTTTCTAAGAGTTAACATCGTAATTAATATATATATAAACTAAAACTACCGAGTATAAGATAAACAATTTTGAATGCACAGTGTAATAAGAAAAGTAGAATGTGGTTTTGGAAAAAAATTATAAAACATCATAAGAATGTGATTTTTGTTAAAGCGAATATAATTGTGTCAGTTTAGAGGTTTTGAAAGTCTTTTTTTTAATTAAAGGAATAAAAAATAGATAAACCTAAATGGAAATAAAAAATTGGAGAAAGAAAGAATAAAAAAATTGTAAGAGGTTAAAAAAGGTTTATGGAAATCTTATGTGTGGTCAAAACTGATTACAATTGAATGGATCTGTTTATCAGGTTTTATTAAAGTTAGTTTTAGCCTTAATACACTGATGCAAAGGCAAAATTCGGTTTCCTCTTTTAAACAAGATTTCCAGGTAGTATTAACAAGAGATAGTAAAAGGTTTTTCTTTAGCTTTTAGGTAAACTAAACACACACACACACACACACACACGAGAGAGAGACAGGAGATGGGGAGAAGACGGAAGACGAGACAGATTCGGAGACAGATTCTGTTGGTCTCATGCTGTCATTATTTGGTCTTTTTTGTTTTGTTTTGAGATGGAGTCTCACTCTGTTGCCGAGGCTGGGGTGCAGTGGCGCCATCTTGGCCCACTGCAACCTCTGCCTCCTGGGTTCAAGTGATCTTCCTGCCTCAGCTTTGCAAGTAGCTGGGATTACAAGTGTGTGCCACCACAACCAGCTCATTTTTGTATTTTTAGTAGAGACAGAGTTTAGATTAGAACAACTAGTTTATAGATAGAACATTCCAGACGTTAATCTTTGTTTTTCTTCTGTAGAAATGCCTCTTATTAAAGATCTGTTTACCTGCATAGTATAGAGAAGCCTAGCCCATCTGCAATGCCAACTTCTGGAATGGGAGAAAATGGTTTCACTGAACTGATCTATTCTCAGAACCAAGAGATTTGGCCGGGCACAGTGACTCACACCTGTAATCCCAGCACTTTGGAAGGCCAAGATGGGTGGATCACCTGAGGCCAGGAATTTGAGACCAGCCAGCCAGCCTGGTAAACATGGTGAAACCCCATCTCTACCAAAAATAGAAAAATTAGCTGGGCATAGTGATGCATGCCTGTAGTCCCAGCTACTCAGGAGGCTTAGGTGGGGAAATGGCTTGAACCCAGGAGGTGGAGGTTGCAGTGAGCTGAGATCCGGCCACTGCACTCCAGCCTGGGTGACAGAGAGAGACTCTGTCTCAAAAAAAAAAAAAAAAAAAAAAAAAAAGAAAGAAAACAAAAGAAAGAGAAAGAAATAAGAGACTAATTCAAGAATATATGGACAATATATTTAAATTTGCTCTTTTTCGCTTGTCCCAAATTTTTCCCACTCCTTTGCCTATCTCTAACAACTTCTAACCCAAATCTCTGTAAAGCCATGAACATGGCTTTTAATATGTGAAAGTTTTTTAAAGTTTTGAAGTAGGACTGACAGAAATAAAAGCAGTTTTACCCCCAAAATATCCTTCTTTGATATATTTTGAGGTGTCTGTTCAGAGAACCAGCAAACAGAAGTAGCCCTGCAAAGCTGTCTTTCGTGGGGAGATTTGTATCTGTATGGAATCTGCCTTGATGCAGCCTGGCTTCTTCTGAGCCTTGTTTGATCTAGGAAAGATTGACACCTGAGAGTTTGACACCTTTGAAGGTTGGAAACATTTACCATCTATTCTTTCTGAAGGCTGCTACCTGTGAGGCTTCATCTACATAGCAAGACCACCTTTGCTAGCCAGGCCTCCTCTTCTCTCCCCGCCATAACCTGTCATGCACCATAACCTGATTTACCACCATAACTTGTTTTGGGCCGTTCTCTGAGCTCTCATTCTGTTGGTAACCTCAAGATGGTATGTAAGCCTCTGTACCCCCACTGGGCGTTTGGAGTAATCACTCTGTGGTTCTTTCCTTTGTGCACATTATAAAAGTCATGCTCCTTTTCTCCAATAAATCTGCCTTTTGTGAGTTATTTTTTTCAGCAAACCTTCAGAGGGCAAAAAGGACATTTTTCCCTTGGCTCCTGCAGGTGTATTGTTTTTTGAGCCCTAACAAGCTCTCATCTGGCCAGGTTTTTGTTGTCGTCGTTGTTTTCTTGCTTTTTTTTTTTTTTTTTTTGAGATGGAGTCACGCTCTGTTGCCCAGGTGGGAGTGCAGTGGCACTATCTCAGCTCACTGCAAGCTCTGCCTCTCAGTTTCACACCATTCTCCTGCCTCAACCTCCCGAGTAGCTGGGACTACAGGTGCCCACGGCCACACCTGGCTAATTTTTTGTATTTTTTAGTAGAGATGGGTTTTCACTGTGTTAGCCAGGATGGTCTTGATCTCCCGACCTCGTGATCTGCCCGCCTGGGCCTCCCAGAGCGCAGGGATTACAGGCATGAGCCACCGTGCCCGGTCCCTGGCCAGGTCTTATACTTTGCTCAGGGGACTTGGGGAAGGAGAACTTTGATTTAATCTAACACGTTTTTCAGATGTTCATTGTGGTACTTCTTACTCACTTTCACTTTTCAGCTGCCTCTGTAAGATCATCACACCTGCAGATTTGCTTGATGCAGTGAGTCCTGGTTGCCATCCTACATCATTCTGGAATCATGAGCGCTATGTGTGTTCATAGATGATTCTGATGTGTGGAATATCCATTACTGTCTCCATCATTATTTTAGGTTTCAATGAATACTTTTGAGCCACTGATTCAATCTAATATGACCCAATAGCAATGATAAAGACTGTAGATTTACTAAACAGAAATAAGCAAATGTTGTGAAACATATATTAACCAGAATGAACTGTATCCTGTTAATTGAATGTTATTTAAGAACATTTGATTAATATCATCTTCGTGGAAAATGCTCAACATTTAAATATGCAGGGGCTATTAGGAACAAAATGAGATTTCTGGGAAATCATTACTTTGTTACATTTTCAATTTATGAAGTGTGACTACAACTGTTTCATTTGGGAAAGGAAAGTAGCTCAGAGCGGTCGGAAGAATCTGAGGAATGCAAAATTTATCAGAGAGACAGAAGAGTCTCATTAACCCTATGCACAGGGTTAATTGTTTAAAGGCATTTTGTACTTTTCTTTTATTCCCTGTAGTTTCCAGACTAGCTGATAAATTACCTAAAATGCTATGAGTTGCACAATGTGACCCTCACCCATATCTTCATGTTTCTGGAATCTGTGATACAAAGAACAACGTACAGCCAATCAATTGCTTATGCTATTTTGAGTCACCGTGGCATGCACCTGTAATCCCAACTACATGGGAGGCTGAGGTGAGAGATCATTTGAGTACAGGAGTTCAAGACCAGCCTGGGTAACACAAGAAAACTTCGTCTCAACAAGAAGAAGAAAAAAGAAGCTTACGGTATTTTAATGAACCAATGTAAATACTTGGTAAACAACTTTAGAACTACCCCTTCTTCTTTCCCTTTAAAAACCCACTTATAATTGCAGATTGGAGCATATATTCCGGGCAACTTGAATCAATGTCCCCAGGGTTGCAGTCCTCAAACTTGGCTCACATAAGCTCTCTACTTACATTAATTTTGCCTCGGCTTCTTCCTTTAGGCCAACACATTGCCTTTTCCTCTGAAACCCCAAAGCAGCTGGGCTCACTGCAGCGATTACAGGGTTCCATGTTTTGGGAGTGCTGGTCTAAGTGAGAAGACTCCTTGGTGAGGAGATGAGAGCCCACAGGAACCTGAAGATTCCCCTGCAGAATGCAGGCCTTTTAAACTCCTCCCTCGTGGCTTTCACTTGGAATCAGCTGGAGGCTCCATCAAGCCAAACAAGACAACATCTGCCCCTTTTTCAGTTCTCTCGGCTGTCACTTTTCATCTAGACTTCATCAGCTCCTGCCTGGTCTTTCCCCAAAATGCCTAATGGGCTTTCCTGGTTGATTCCCTTGATTTCTTGCCCTTGAGTCTGGCTGTCTTCCCAGGGGAGCCGCTTGTCTGGCGTGGCAGCTGGCACAGAGTGGGCACTCAGTCATTTTAGGCCTTCTGCTCTAGTTGTCAGAGGGTGAATTGACAACACGATTGACAGGGAATGCAATTTGCTACTACTGATGCAACAATCAGAACCGAAAATATGACCATCAGCCTTAGCTCCTCAGAGAGAGGGGAAAAGTCTGTGGTCTTGGCCAGGAACAGATCAGTTGAGTGGATTTATATACCAACACAATGGATGACAAAGGTGACAGTGTCCTGTCACGATGGCTTCAGGGAATGAGTGGTGTGGGCAGCTTAAACAACCCATCTTGTGCTAACATGGAGGGAGAGAGCTCATCAATCCTGAGCAGATATTAGATGCAGAGGCCAGATTACTTTGTGTGGGTTTTATAGGTGTGCACACCAACTATTAAGGACAACCTTTATTACTAAAATTTTTATAGTACGGGCACGGTGGCTCACGCCCATAATCCCAGCACTTTGGGAGGCCGAGGGGGGCAGGTCACGGGGTCAGGAGATCAAGACCATCCTGGGTAACATGGTGAAACCCTGTGTGTACTAAAAATATAAAAATTAGCCGGGCATGGTGGCAGGCGCCTGTAGTCCCAGCTACTCGGGAGGCTGAGGCAGGAGAATCATTTGAACCCAGGAGGCAGAAGTTGCAGTGAGCTGAGATCGTGCCATTGCACTCCAGCCTGGGTGACAGAGCAAGACTCCGTCTTAAAAAAAAAAGGAAAAATTAACTCTGTCATAGAGGATGAAACTCTCAATCCCTCCTTTGAAATAATTACTTTTAGAGAGCTTGTTTGGAGGTTCTAGCAGGGCAGTGCATCTACTCATATACCCTTGGCCAAAGAACGGCCCTCCTCTACTGGTCGTCCGCAGCGTCTGGAGGGACGCGTGATGAGGGAGGAAGGGGACACCCACCTCGCCAGCCAGATCAGACAAATTAACCCTGGCCATCAGTGGGGTGACAGATGTTGCAGCCAGATCACCCTCACATCTGGAAATAATTGATCTAAAATGCAATATTTGAAAACCTGAATTTTCTTGGGTAAGCAACTATTATATTGCTAATTTAACAAAAGGCTTTTTAAAAAAATTAATATACTTAATTTTTAGAGCAATTTTCCAATTGGTTAGAAAGTACAGTGTTCCTACACCCTGCCTTGCCTGCATCATACACACAGCTTCCCCCCTTTTTTTACTACGTATGTTTGTGTGGTACATTTGTTATACTTGATGAACCCATATCAAAGCATGCTTATTAACTAAAGCGCATACTTCACAGTTTACATTAGGGTCCATTCTTGGTGTTGGGCATTCTATGAGATGTCACAATGTGCCATTACATATATCCACTTTTATAGTATCATACAGAGCAGTGTTGTTGTTGCTTTTCTCACTCTATCACCCCAGCTGGGGTGCAGTGGCGTGAACACAGGTCACTGCAGCCTCAACCTCCTGGGCTCGGGTGATCCTCCCACTCAGCGTCCCAAGTGGCAGAGGAAAGAGAAAGGACACTGGGTGTGAGGGAGGGGTGCAAAGTCAGGACCAAGCATCCATGGGAACATGGGGAGGATGAAGGCACAGAGGCTGGGGAGAGGGCAGGGCTGTCAGTGTTGAAGGCTGGAAGGGATGAGGGTGTCTGCAGGCTCGGCACGATCAACTGGGTTCCAGCTTCTGTGACCTGCCTGGAGGAAGATGAAACAGGCTCCTCATCCTTATTGGTAAAGATAAACCCAAACCCCATCTCACCTCTCAGCTCTGGTCTTCCCACCCTGACCACTACCCACCTCACTCCATGCCTCCTTGCCAAGCCTAGGCTGGCTTAGCTTTCGCTGCTCTGTGGTCTCACAGTGCCCTGTGGCTATGGCTGTAGCTGCACTTACCACTCTGCACTTACCACTTGTCTTACAGTTGTCTCTTCACCTGGTCATATCTGTCTTGAGTCTCTGCACTCCCAGGGCAGAGGCTGAGTCTCATTCATCCGGCAGCCCCAAGGCCCAGCCCCACTCCTAGCATGTGTCATTGCTTAGTGTTGAGTAAGTGACTGTCCATTGTGACATGTGGACATCCTCAAGGTCACATAAACAGCTATATGACACTAAGCGATGGGGAATTAGCTTGCTGCTTGGTGGGGGATGGGAGAATAATAGGTGGGAAGATGGTGGAGGATGATGGAAAGGCATTTTTAAAGAGTGAACATTGAGTAGCTGAGTAGCTAAATTGTGAATGCAATTTCTTTTTTTTTTCTGCCTCAGTCTGTGGCTGGGACCCCAGGCGCACGCCACCACGCCTGGCTAATTTATGTATTTTTCTGTAGAGATGGGGTTTCCCCCTGTTGCCCAGACTGGCGTGAATATCATTTCTTTTCTTTTTTTTTTTTTTTTTTTTGAGACTGAGTCTCGCTCTGTCGCCCAGGCTGGAGTGCAGTGGCACGAGCTCGGCTCACTGCAAGCTCCGCCTCCCGGGTTCACGCCATTCTCCTGCCTCAGCCTCCCAAGTAGCTGGGACTACAGGTGCCGTGAATATAATTTCTAATCAGTCAAGTTTTTCCTTCTATAGACATGGGCAAAGTGCAAATAAGAAATTGAGGGAGATAATAGGAGGTAGAGCTATGCTCTTTGCACCTGGCCAGCTATGGGGAGAAGTGGACCGGGGGCTGCTTGGCCGTGCAAATTCTCTCCCTGAGCCATGCAGCTGTGCTCCAGACTCTGTCCCCACCCCTGGGAGGTCCTTGTGGCAATCACTGAAAATTTTCCTGAAACAGCCATTTCCCCAGAATGCAATCTACTGGGTATTTAGTCTAATTGAGTTAACAACTCGTGAACACTGTGGCAACATATCCATAACAAAAAACTTACCATGTTAAACCTGTTTTAGGTACACAGTTCTGTGACATTCAGTACATTCACATTGTTGTACTACAGGCACTGCCTTCCATCTCCACAGCTTTTTCGTCTTTTCCAACTGAATCTGTGTCCATGAAATTAATTTCTCACCCCCTCTCCCCAGTCAATGGACACCTGGGTTGTTCCTACCTTTTGGCTATTGTGAATAATGCTGTTATGAACATGGATGTACAAGAAAGTTAATAATTTTAAGCAGAATTTAAGAAACACAGAAGATTCTTCCAGTGAGAAAATATTTCCAAAGCCTGCCATTCAAAGGTGGTCTGCAGAGCAACGCGCTGGCTTCACTTGGGCCTTCGCTACTGATGAAGAATCTCAGGCTCTGCCCCGGACCTTTGTTATAGAATCTGCTTTTTTTTTTTTTTCTTGAGACAGAGTTTTGCTCTGTCACCCAGGCTGGAGTGCAGTGGCGCCATCTCGGCTCATTGCAACCTCCCCACCTCCCGGGTTCAAGTGATTCTCCTGCCTCAGCTTCCTGAGTAGCTGGGCCCACAGGCGCCCACCATCATGCCTGGCTAATTTTTGTGTATTTTTCGTAGTAACAGGGTTTTGCCATGTTGGCCAAGCTGGTCTCGAACTCCTGACCTCAAGCGATCCACCCGCCTCAGCCTCCCAAAGTGCTGCATTACAAGCATGAGCTACCTACTGCTCCCGGCCAAGAATCTGCTTTTTAACAAGACCCCCAGGTGACTTACTTGCACCTTAAAGTTTGAGGACTGCTTCAAGACATAGACTCCATGGAGAACAATAAACGAGTACTTTGCTTTTTATTCTATTTTTTTGAGACAGGGTCTCGCTCTGTCATCCAGGCTGGAGTGCAGTAGCACAATCTTGGCTCACTGCAACCTCTGCCTCCTGGGCTCAAGTGATCCTCCCACCTCGGCCTCCCGAGTAGCTGGGACTACAGGCATGTACCACCACAGCCGGCTAATTTTTGTATTTTTTGTAGAGATGGGGTTTTGCCACGTTGCCAGGCTGGTCTTGAACTCCTGGGCTCAGGCCATCTGCCCACTTTTGCCTCCCAAAGTGCTGGGATTACAGGTGTGAGCCAACACACCTAGCCCAACAAATGGGCACTTCGTAATGAAAAGTTTGGGAATCACTAGCTAGTGGAAGTGAAAGCAGTAACCCACCAAGGCTGTCAAGTAGGCTAGTTTTAAGCTCAGTACCACTGGTACAGAGCCCTTGCCCCACTAAAGGTTGGTGTGAAATGAAGCCTTCCCTGAACACTGCACAGCAGCGAGGGAGGAAGTGCGTCCACAGTGACCACATGGCTCTGTATTTCAGCAGAGGCTGAGGCTAGCGTGCACCTCCCTCTCTCCTACCTCTCTTGTCTGATGAGACCCACCCGGGTCCAGGAGACTGAGTTCCCACTGGGGAATGAGCTTTTCAAAACAGCTCCTCGATTAAGGCAGGTTTGTCTACAGTTAATCAGCCACTAAGAGAATGAAATTTCTCTGTATGGTTGTATTTGCAATTAATTTATGGTTCTTTTCAAATAAGTTACTGTGGTCATTTGAGGGAAATACAGCAAACTTCCCCCAGATTTGAATATGGGACAATAACTCCCTAATTGTGTTGAAAGTCTTTCCCTAAGCTCTTGCTTTGATTGATAGCCCATTAGCATACTATCCCTTTTGGCACAAGAAAATGGCTAAAAGGGATGAGAACTACAATGTAAGAAATGTCTACTCTTAGCAGGATGCCATTTATGTGTAGTTAGCTCATCACATCCCCCTTAATTCTGAGATTGTTCTACAGAAGGTTACATGGCTACAAAATGACAGGAACCACGATTCAAATCCAGGCCCATCTCACCCCAAACCTACACCTTTCCAGGCCAGCCCCCCAGCCTGCACTGAGCTCAGGCGAGCTGTATTTGGGTTTATTCACGTCACGTCTGCTCTAAGGCTGAAGTGAGACACTGATGTTGCTTACAGCTCAGCTTAACACAGGCTTTTCCATTTCCTGATTTCTCAGGTATCAGAACGTGACAAGAAAGGCCATTTTCTTTTCCCGGCATTTCCTGCTGAGTGAAACCTAGGAAATACCAGAAATCTTAGGGACATCTGATCTTGTAGGGATTGTTCCCAACCCTTTCCTGTTTGAGAAATAACATCATTCTGGTGGGTCCGTTGGCAGAGGGCTGGGAGGCGCCCTGCAACAATGGAGCACAGCAGGCCTCTGTCCTGATGGCCTGATCCATTCAATTTAGCATCCTGATGTGGAAGAGTGGGCTTATAACTGATCATGAAAAGCCTGAGATCTGCTGCTATGCGACAGATCTGCTGGCCTACCCATCACCCAGGGGCACTGCCAAATGGCCTAACACAACGACCAGTGTTTGTGAGCAGAGTGTGGACGAATGTGGTGCAACAGACAGAATCTTCCTGGTGAGGGCTCAGGCTTGCATGACATGGTATGACATGGCCGTAGGATGGAGCCATTTTGCAAAAATAATTCTGACCTGCCCAATGCTAAATGAACATTAAAGAAGCAATTGTATTCCCGTCTCCGAGAACCTTTCAATATTGTACAAGAGACAAGAACC